CAGGCTTGGGTTCTTCGAACCCGCACCTGGGTTCTTTGAAGGAACCCAGGCTCTGGTTTCTTCAACAAAAAAATAAATAAATAATTTCTTTATTTTAGTGGGTGTTGTTTGATGATGATGATGAATTGATTGATGAAGTTTTTGTGGGTGTTGTTTGATGATGATGATGAATTGAGTTTTGTGGGTGTTGTTTGATGATGATGAATTGATTGATGAAGAAGGAAAGGAAGAGGAAGGAGAAAGGGAACGAGGAAATGGGTTTGAAGGATCCCATCGCCTGCGTTCGACAATCCCAGGCTCTGGGTCCAAGAAATGAAGAGGAAGAAGAAAGGGGACGAGGAAGGAGAAATAATTTTTAAAATTTTGATTGCCATGTCACTAGTTTTTGCCATGTTGTCTTTCACGTGGAGCAAAATTTTGATATGTCATCATCTTACGGTGAATTAACAGTACAGGTGGAGAGGTTTAACAGAAGGACCAAATCGGGGTAAAAATGGTAAACAGTAGGGACCAAATCGGGGTAAAAATGGTAAACAGTAGGGACCAAATCAGGGATTTTTTGAGTTCAAGGACCAAATCGGAGGTCCGTACAATAGTTGAGGGACCAAAAAAGGGTTTTAACCTTAATTTTTATATCAATTAATTTTTTTAAATAAATATGATAGAATAGTAAATCAGATCTTATTAATTTCTTTAAAGAAAATGATTGATACATTATCTGATTTAACATATCTATTAATACCCATTGATGTACTCATTACATTATGTAATTTTATATTTTTTCACATTTAATTCAAATTTAAAAACAATAATTTTTTAATAAGTATATTTTGAATTGTATTAAATAAAAAAGTATTTCAATTATTATCATTTCTTTAATCTTTGCAAGTATAACTATTTGAAAAAATTGTTTTACAGTTTGAATTGTTTCAAACAGTACAATATTAATTTTTGGATGAGGGATGAACTCCGTAATATTGGGGCCCCCAACCTAACCAAATATCCTTATTTTACAATTTAAATTGTAAAATAACAAAGTTATAATTATTACTATATATATCCCTTTTTTTACCTCAATTTGTCTCTTCTTTCTCGAATGCGAATGCCCATATTAGAAGATTTTAAGTCAAAACATAAAAGATATAACTCATACCCATCTTCTATAGATGGGTAATCATTCAAAAATTATTTTATAAAAAATATAACTCATTAGTGTTATTCTCTTAGTGCCTTTTCATTTACCTATACACCATTTGTTAACTTACCTTTACATAATTTATCATTATACTATCAATCCACCTATATTTACCTCACAGTTTCTTTTTCTATATTAATAAATTTGTTTGTTAAATTATTATTATTTTTTCTCCCCTCATCCACCCATAATTCTCTCTCTCTCTCTCTCTCTTTCTCTTCCATCATCTAAATTAGACATGTTCTAAATGAAAACTTAAATGTTATAATCATCAATATTTTATCATTATTTAACATGTTCACATATATTGTTAAATTTTCATCTAAAATTCATATCTTAAAAGTTAAAAAGTCAAATTAGGTTTATAAAAAATAAATAGGAGTACCATTTTTACCATAATATATATGTGTGTGTATGTGTGTATGTGTGTATATATCAAAAAATGTTTTATAAAATGTACTGTATTTTAAAAGTGTAGTCTGTCTTATAAATTTACTAAAATACCCTTAATAAAACTATTTCTTATATTATTTCATTAAAGGTATTTTAATAAATTTATAAAAGAGATTGTACTATTAATATACAGTCCAAACTTTATTACATGAATCCCTATATATTTATTTTTGGTACATAGGAAGCCATCATTGGAGCTTAAGCTCTAAAGTGGTTTTTAAACTCTCTTACCATTAGATATTTATTTGAGATTTTATAAGTATTTTTAAAAAAATTTATTAAATATCTTAAAGAGATTTATTGAAATTTTTAAAAGGTTTATCAATATTTATTCAAAATTTATTGATGATTCTAACAATTGTTATAATATAATAACATAAGATATAAATTTTTAGATAGATTCTCGCCAAAATAATTTAAGAATACAACATACTACGCGCTAACCTGCAATATTTATTTAGTCCTTTCACATGCATGACAATTGAATATATTTTGTCATTTACCCATAAAGAAAAAATAATGTCCCATACCCCACAATTTGTATCTAAAAAGGCGTCCTGCAATTATTACCAAACGGGACTATATATATAGAGGTAACATTAATCCCTTATACATGAAACCCATATGCACTTTGAATAAGACTTTTATTTTTATAAGTTTAAGTTGGATCACATTTGTAATAGCATGATAGTAACAAAGATAAAGTAATGAAGTAAAAGAGGTTATGTGACTCACATAATGCAATGTAATCAAATATTGTATTTTAGTCTAATTATAACAATAATATAAAGTATGTTGAGGAGCTTAAGGGTTTCAAGAACAATCAATTGAAGGGCTTCCAGGGGGTTTATGCGCAAAGAAAGCTTCTTTACCTATACTCCATAAGCATTTTACCCCCCTTTTTGGAGTATAACTCTCATCCAAAGTATCTATAAACCATCTCATGCTTTGATAGCCTTTATCCCTTTTAATCTCTACTGAAATTTCCTTCCCATAAAGTTTTCCCAATCCAGGACCATAAATAGATGGATAGTCGTAGAACATTCTGCCACACTTAGATAAATTAAGCTTCTCAAGATTCTTGCACTTCTGCAAGATTATGCAAACACCCCTCCTGAATATGGGCATCTTGTCCATGCTCAACATCCTAAGCTGCGGAACACACCTTGATAAAGATAAAGAGTTGATCTCGTCCAGTCTAAAGTACATACTTGAGTCAGTGCAGTAGCTAGATAAAGTTAATATGGTCAAGTTCCTGCATGTTTTGCCCAACACTCGAAAGAAAGAAGGTGCGTTAAGGTTCCTAACCGGTCCAATTGACAGCTCTTCAAGTTCCTCCCACTTGCGTATTGCTCTACAAAGCCCAGGCACTGTCACGGTATATGCTTTTGGAAGTATAAGCTTCCTGAGCTTTGGGGACCTAGGCAAATATATAGTCCCAAATACACCAAATTAAAAGCCAAATTAATTTCAATTCTAGTTGCATATATATCAAATGTATAAAAGAATGAAATATATAGTATTACTTCTTGGCAACCAGATTTATATGCATGTCTAGTAAAAACATAGCGCGTGAAAACAGTATGGTCCTAACAGCAGCACCTTTGTGACTACTGCTGCTCGTGGGAAAGCAATCCATGACGCATTTTAGTGCTTCTTTCAATCTCTGGGAAGGATCCAGATTTCTGGATCTGCTTAAATGTTTTACATCAGTTCTTAGCTCAAGTGTGGATTCATCCTTCCAGAACAAAATTGCCGAAGAAACTGACCTCCACCACCCACAAACGAACCAGGTTGCTGATATCAAATCTTCTCGAGTTAGCTGTTTAAATATTTTTAGTAAAAGGTTACCTTCCAAATCTCCCCAGCCCGCAGCAGATGCTATCATATTCTCATCAATTGATTGCATGCTCCTGTTTGTAGGCACAATATCCAAAGTTCAGATATAAAAAAAATAATCATGCATGTATATTGATCTGAGTATTTAGTCATTATCTTAAGTAATTAATTAACTTTGAATTGAAGATTCAAACCATTGCAATCACTAAACAAAC